GGAATAGAAGCGTATCGTACTGCAAGAGTAAGGCTGACGCTGCAGGACAGCCTTTTCGATCAACCGGTAACCCCCCCAACTCACCGGGAAGACAGTCATCGCCGAAGGTGCTAATAAGTGCGGAAGCCCTAGGAGCAGAGGAGATACAACTCAGTAACCGTGGTATGAAGCTTAACGAAGCTAAGAAATTAAAAAGAGAGGCTGCCGCGAAAGAGCTGGCTAAGTTGGCGGCTGAGGAAGCAGAAGAATCTGTGCGGAAAATGACAGAAGCTGCTAGTACAGTAAAGAGCCTTTTCGGAAATCACCCTGAAGATGAGAAGAAAGAAAAAGAGAAAGCTACTACTAAAACACCAAAGAAGCAAGTATCGAGAAAACGTAAACGCGAGTCGACGATTGAAGATGTCAAGGCAAATGGCGAGAGCTCATCAATTGTAGATGGCATAGCTGACACGAATGAAATCCAAGGTGATAGAGTAAATGAAGCAGATTCTTCGAAATTAGGTAAGCCTCAATTCAAGAGAACGAAGACTGAAACTCCGGTTCCGCCCCCTCATCCCATTATCACAAATGCCACTCCCCGCGCAACTCCTGTACCTACTTTGGAATCTGCCGTCTCCGTGGCATCTTCCATTGCTCTCTCAGCAGCCAATACAGATACACCAACTGGTTCTACTCCAATTGTTCCAGTATCCGCTACATCACCACCAAAATCTTCAACGCCAATTCTTCCTCCAGGTGTGGAAAAGAAGGAAGCTAAGAAGGAGGCGAGAAAAGCAGCAGCTGTTGCTAAGAAGGAAGCCAAAGAAGCAGCCAAAGCAATTGCGGATGCAGAGAAGGCAGAAAGGAATGAGGAGAAGAAATCGGAAAAGCCAGAGAAAACAACTAACACACGTACCACTCGAAAAGCAACTCCTGTTGCTTCATCAATGGAACCCACTACATCAGCAACAGAAGCACTTCCATCTAAGAGACCAACTTCTTCTCGTGGTAAAGCAGCTGCAGCTGCAGCAATTGCTGTTAAGTCAGAGGATCCCATTTCCGCAGCTCCTACTCCGGCAGCCTTAGATCGCCCGAGACGCACCAGCACCGCTCGTAATACACCCGCACCAGAAACTCGTCAACCAAGTAAAAGAGCTAAGAGACCTGCACCAGGGGTCGTAACTGTTAGTACAGAAGGTGGTTCAACTGCTGTAAGTGTTGGCAAGAGACGAGCCGCTCCACGTAAAAAGGCAGGGCAAAAAAAAGAAAAGAAAGATGGAAGAGAAGGTAGTGCGGTTCAAGAAGTATTGGATGAAGTGGATGATGATGGAAATTTGATTGATCCAAATGAGCCGAGATATTGCATTTGTAATCGGGTTAGCTTTGGCACGATGATTGCTTGTGAGAATGATAATGTGAGTTTTTTCGTTGTTAGTGAGTTTTTTTCGAAATGGGAAAATCAGAACTAACGAGCTATTTGATTCATAGTGCGAAAAGGAATGGTTTCATTTGGAGTGTGTGGGTTTACCGGCAATTCCTCCTAGAACTACTAAATGGTATTGTCCGGATTGTAGGATTATCTTGGGAATTGGTGAAAAGGGGGAGGTTAATGCTAGGGGAAGGAAAAAGTAAGGGAGTGGTCTGTCTGGCTGGTCTGTTAGCTAGCTAGCTAATATGGAGTTTATACTATGGTTGGCTGGCTTGTCTCTGATAGATTTATTGATGGTCTTGATATTAATACGGATTTGGGATTTGGGGATGATTGTATGAATATATGGGTGTATGGATGTATGAGTGTGTGGATGTATGGATGTATGAGTGTGTGGGTGTATGGATGTGTGGGTGTATATGAATACATTGGGGTATATTTGGTTGTACAATGAATGTTAAGGTTGTAGGATGTAGGATGGGATGCAGGATGAGGATGAGGAAAGGTATACAGGAAGATGGCCCAGGATGGATTATGAACATGGATATGAATATGAATATATTTTCATGGTGTTTTTTTTTTACTTTCTTTCCTTTTTTCTTAATGTGTTTTTGTATTTTTATATTTATTGTATAGTGAGGTATGGTGAGGTATGGTGAGATGAGGGTAGATAATTATAATTACATGTATCTTATATATAATTGTGGATGGATAGATGGATGGATGAATGTATAGATATACTAGATAAATGAGTGTACTAGATGAATGTATATATGAATATATAAAATAGAAATTCAGGGTCTGAAAATTAAATTGGAAGGTTGAAGGAAGATTGACATGATAAAGTGGGATAGGATGGGATGGGATAAAATAGAAAAGGAGATTGACTAGTTCTTTTGGCTGTTTGTTGTGGGTGGATGGATGGTATACGGATGGATAAGATGGATAGATATTGTATAGAAATTGTATAGATAGATGGCCCAGGGTGGAAGGGATGGAGAGATGAATATAAAGGGAAGGGAAGGGGTTAAGGAATAAATAGATACATACATACATAATACATAATATATTATATACCACATGTAATACATAACATATAATCTCTAATCCCTCCTTTTCCACCTCTATTCTATAATATCTAACCTTTACTGTCTCCTACTCCACTATCATCTATCTATACAATATCTCACCACCTTCTCCGTATCCACTCCCCTC